TGCACCCCATAGAAAACTTAATTTTCTTGAGAGCCCGAAACTTTTGTTGCTTCTGCCTATACTATAGTTTAGAAATAGACGAAGGAATAATATCTGTGATATTTATTTGACATTACGACTTTTTCAAAGTTTGTGACAACAATTTTTCACTTTTTGAGCCGGTGCATAATAGATTGGACGATATGTATTGTGGATCAAAAAACAAGACCTAAAGTCTGCTCCTCCCATCTAAGTATGAGGGCAGCGTCCCTTCTTCTCAGTGAGCTTGGGACTGGAATCAGATTTTGAATCAGCGCATTCTAAGCAGCAGAGGCGGTAGAGTTTTCCACTCCTTTGTAATGGCGCGCTGAACATTGTCATACGCTTTCCCATTTGCGTAGATCTTACGCGTCAGTATACCCTATGTATTCCCGATAGGGTTTGTATCAGGATTACATGCCGGCGATGAAAATAATGGGTTGTTATTAGATTGAAAGTGGGACAGAGTGCTTCACGAAGTGTGGTTCGAAGCGTTCTTTTGCACGAAGATGAAGTGCTTGTTGAAGTCTCAAGAAACGAATGGTACCAACGTGTTGTTGAGGAGTGACTGATAGTTCTGGCTTCTCATTCACAAGAATCAAAATGAATCTCAAGGCTACCATCACTAGAGGATGCCCACCAAACCATTCAGGAGAAGGCACCGATGTTGCTTCGAGGCACCAGTAGTGGTTCACTTCTGCAAGAGCGCCAGTTCGAGTGCCGTTAACACGACTCATCTCCGCCGAACAAAATGTCATCGAAAGAAATTACCGTAGGGAAAATAGAAATGAGAAATTTAAATTTAACATAAAGCTGGAAATGTGCCCAGAACACTCCGCTGCCCAATCTCTGTTATTCTCATTCCTCGCAAGAGGGAGCCGCTTATGTCGATGATATTGAGTCAGGCGTAGTGTCGGCTTTATTTATTGTCGAACTATGTGGTCCGATATTTTCAACATACGAGACACGGTCCATTTCGAAACGACAATCCCGCAAGCGACAGCCAATTCATAGGCAACCTTTGTGGAACTCAATGCCAAATTAATCAAGCAGCGCCTGCCGCGCTCAGGAACAGTTGACTTCTGTACCACCTTGTTCTTAAGAACAGTTTGAGAATGATTCTTGATCACAGTTGCAACTGTACTCCTAGGAATGAGGGTTCCTTAGAGATTTGGAGATCACCCTTGCCAAGAAGAAGTTACGCTTCACTTCGAATCCAGTCTTCGTTTGTGAAACGCGTATACTTCACATAATACGTGAGTACATGCGAACTTAAAAAGCAGGAAAAAAAAGTCGGAAAAATTGGAAAAATTGAATATCTCAAGTCGTCCAATCTATTGTGCACCGCCAAAAAAATCAATATTTCACTCTAAAAATTTTCAAAGACTGTATCTAACTGAATATTGTGTCAACATTATTTATCTACTTCCCCAGGAAACATATCAACAGCAGAATCAATAAAAGTTTCGGCCTCTCTCAAAAACTAAGTTTTTTATAGGGTGCAATCTATTGTGCACCGGGGTGTAGTATCGAAGAATGAGCCTCACTCCGGTGCCGAAGACTTCTTTCCAGTTAAGGCCATAAGAGTTTTATTGGCGCAGAGCGGCCTTCAGTCGCAGCGTCCTATTCTCAAAAGTTTAGAAAATGGGTAGCCCATTGAGTACGGTTTGTACACACGTTAACCAGCGACTCTGAGAGTTTCAATAATCAGTCGGAAGCATCGGTTCAAATTTAAAAGTGTGATATGTGGAGGGATCCGAAAAGGACAGTATAACACAGACATACAATGTCTCGAAGGGGCAAAGGAGGGGCGGTAGGATATCCGAACGAGGCGCAAACAGCGCCAAACGGTTAACTTCTGCTTCACTGCTTACATGCCTGCTCACCGGAGAGAGACCTGGTCAGGAGGATGGCGGCGGTCCTTGCTAGATCTTGTATTACAAAAAATTTCATATCAGGGAGCCTCATACAGTCACTAGTCCGTGCTTATCATATCTTCGCTGTCCCATCGTGCATGACGCACTGTGTGAATAATGAGCCTCATCGTAGTTCAAAAACGACGGACAAGACGAGGGCTTTATTTCGCTTTCGGTTCCTGAGTTTCTCTTTTTTCCTATTCAATTCCTCTTTTCATATTTCCTCGACATCGAATCATCGTGACCGCCATGTGCAGAAGGACTCTCGTCATGTATAGAAAAATAATGAGGGCATTCTCAGTACAAGCGGCACTTTCACAAAGGTTAACGTTTGATATTATTATTATTATTATTATTATTTATTATCGGTAATAAACACAACAGAACACAAAACATTATGTTAAATACAATTTCCGATATGCCTGTAAGAAATCAAAAATAGTAGTGAGATACCAATTACAGGAGGCAATAGTCATAGAGGGTAATGGGGAGGCATCAAGGCGCGTAATAACCCAGACGGCGATCGAGTATTGATCAGGTCATCTGGGGATACTCCTTTGTTTGGAATGGCTGAGGCATTCGAATGCATATAATCCCTTGGAATGTCATCACTAAGCGGAACCATTTTGGTACAGATCAGCCAACCAAGAACCTCGTTGATAAAGAGATGGAATTGATTCACAACGACACCACTCTGAAATGCCTGGCATTGCCCCTACAATATATAGACAGCCAGAACATGTTAGTGCGGCTTTCAATGCTTGATGGAACAATGAGATCGCACATTTAAGAACTGTAAAAACTGTTTATTATTACATATAAACATGCCCGTTGGATCGTGGAAATGTTGAGATTTGAAGACATCGAGTTATACAAAAACCCTTTCTACATTTCCATCACCGAATCAGCCTTGATGTGTCTGAGATTTTCTACACATAGAATACAACAGGAAGATGGTATTTACATGGTGACTACGTACAGATTCCCGCATTGTGATATTGCCTTGAAATAGATTTAATATGAAGCGTGGACCTATTCCACTACATGTGGATGTTCCTACGCTCCTCCACCGGAGATTCACTTGTAATGTTCAGATCTGAACAAACGGCTGCGGAAGACGAGGAGCTCTGTTCGACATCACCTGGAATGAATTGTTTTTTTGTGGTACTGCATTAAAGGAACAGTTTCTGCACGAATACAGTGCGTTTCATAAGTATAGACGCACCCCAAAATCTTACACGAATAGTTTCAAACGGATCCATAGGGTAACATAATGGCACTAGTAGGAATCATCGGAGAAATAGTCTCAGTTACAATACGTCTCGTAGTTATGAGAAATTTTTTCGAGGTATATTAGGCATCGACCCTGTTGCCCAACGTTTCATAAGTATAGACGCACCTCTAAGACACAATACTTTTATTATGAAATCAAAACAATAAAAACTCCTTAGTAATTAATTGTTTCTTAGTACTTCGAAAGATAGAAGAAAGAGTAGATTTAACCATCCGCTGAGCAGTTATACGACCAGACGATTCCATTCCTGACTAATCACCACTCTGAGGTCGGTCACCTTAACAAAAGTCCCTCTGTGACGTTAAATATTGCAACCCAGGAGGCCTCAGATGTTTTTAATGAGATTGACATTGGGTGAACAAGCAGGCCAGTCCACAGTAGTTGCATTTCGCTCCTCTATCCACGACCAAGTAGACCGCCTCATTTGGATCACAGCGTTGTCCTGCTAAAAAACAAATTCTCCCTCGCCATACCCTGCCAAAAAAGGTAGCGAGTGAGGACTGAGCACGTCTTTGTTTTCCGTGGAGTCCATGTGGGTGGGAGTGAAAGCGATTTCTTGCGTCCCACATCGGTGAAATACATTCCAAATTGTGACGCATCATCCATCGAAATCACGCTTATTGGAAAACTTCGACACCTTGCACAGATCTCTCCATTAAAATGTATACCCGTCTAAACCGTTCAGGTTGAGCTTCTTCTCGTCGGAGAATATCAGTTGAGCAAGAAGTTTCGAATGGGAAGCTTTATAAGAAAGGGGTGTAAATTGGGCCAGTTTGCTGCCATATTCCTCTTAGCAAATTGGAGCCGTGCCTCTTTGCGAGACGCGGTGAGACGGGGAAGCTGGGACGGAGACCGACTTCGCACGACGTTGCTGTTGCCACTGAACGTCCTCCACACCGCCGTTTTGGAGGCAGGTGCCGCTAGGTTCGCTCGGACTTCATTGAGGCTGAGTCGAGAGTTCAAGACCAATCGTTCAATCTGACGTTCTGCTTGCGGAGGCAGCTTCCTTGGTCTACCTGATCCCTTTTTGCGACCGTAGGATTCCGTGTCACTTACGAGTTGATCGACGACCCTTGAGGAGCAACACAATTGGGGAGCAATTATGCGATTGCTCAGACATACCGTGTGCAGGGCGCGATCCTGAGCCTGCTCGGCAACTGGAAGCTGTGAGCCCCTGCTATTTAACGATATGATGCGTAGTACTTATGGCTAATTACTGCTTCCTTGAACGTTAACTTTCGCAGGCCAAGTGTTCAGTTTCATGGCGATTTCTAAAGTGCGTCTATACTTATGAAACGGTCCATTTGGTAACAAACCGTTGAAAAATACCCAATTTTTCTCCGATTCAAATAAAACCTGTCTCACAAAGGTTTTCCGGCACGCTGATTACGATATTAACAACCCTTTTTGTCACGGATATCGTTAAACTTTGATGACAGCTTTTTTGAGGGTGCGTCTATACTTATGAAACGCACTGTATAACATTTATTATAATGAAAGCATTTCTGAGCGAACTTGCAAGAAGAGGGGTTATCGAAGAGCTTCATAGTGGGAGGGTAGAGGTCGAAGTTGGATGGTCATTATTCTCTGGATGATTTTGCAGTTACGTCAGAAATTATACAGATACCATACCCGACATATCTCTAGATATATAACCTCCTCTCTCAAAAAGCGAGAAAGCGTCGGGTGCAGACCAAACACCACAACTGACGACGAACTCCCGAATACACTGGTTAGAAGTACTTCATGAAGTTTATAGCTGATTTCTGGTAAATGATAGCTGTAATTAGTGACAATCGATAGAATACAACTGCAACAGGCTAATCATTTCATTGGCAGAAAACATTAACATTTTGTGAAGGCCGTCGTCACTTGTGGTGCATGGTCTGCACCCGACACTTTCTCGCTTTTTGAAGGGAGGGTAGGTAGGCAGCAGTTTATCAGTAAGTATTGATGTATTGGTAGCAATTTCACTAACATTGAGGAGTAATACTTCCATGCAGAACGTTAGACAAAAGAAGGGGTCGTACGAACCCCGGGGTTTATTTGATTATTTATTTTTCTTATTTGGTGCTCGCTAAGGTGTAGTACTGTTACTTGATTACTATATTTTGACAGACAGCACTAAAAGTACGTCAAGTCTTGATCTTAAACAGAAAGTAGGATTTGCGCAGTACATCAGTTGAATCGCTTGGATCACTGCCCCAGTCGAGAGAGCGCAGCAGCAATAGAAGAGAAGTAGGGGGAGGTAAATCACTGAAGGATGATAGCGCGACGTTGCCCACTCCAGGAATCTAGCGCTGTGCATCCTATCCCACCTCCAAATCCTTGTGCTACATCTAATTTGACGAGTAGAATAAGGTAGAGCTGCAACAGAGGAGGTAGTGTACACCCGTCGGAGCAGTAAAAGCAAGCTTTGGCGCTTCTACAGCGAAAACTGTGCTAATTGCTGCAGTTGAGTTTCAGACCTGAAAACAGCGCCGCCTCAAAAGCGCCCCACTCTCAGCTGGGATCTACGGTACCTTACAGCTATCGTTTGGTTTCTTATTTGCAAAAGAGTTGCAATCCGAATACCCTCCTAGTGCCGTCTTCTGTAAACTCCTGTCGGGACGCCCTCACCCAAATAAGCAGGCCCTCAGTATGCTAGTTCAGCGTCAATAGGCGGAGTGAAGGCGCTATTCCTCGGGCTTTGGGATTACTTCTTTCGGTCTTTCCTTTCCTGCTGCACCATTTGGCACATTAGCTGCCGTACTTGATGAATATCAAATTGTCATGACCACTGTCTTCAGTGCATTGGCCTATACGATGAGTTGCTGTTAAAGGCTTACTTGAAAATCTATGTTCTTTCTCTGACATACGAGAAAGGTCCCAAGTAACCTTCCTCAGAGAGGGTCTGGTGATCATGGCTGACCAAGTTCCTCAAAGTGCAGTGCATTTCAGCGACTACCCCCCCCCCCCCAAGTAGTGATAAGAACCAAGAAAAAAGAAGTGAAGGTGTACTCCAGTACCGAATCCTGTCAAACATTTCGGCCAAACAATTCCATACCAATCTAAGAAACGATTGTAAGTGCAGAGTCATCTGTCCAACCCTATAAGCTCTGTGGAAAGAGCTTTAACCCACAACCGTCCACATTTATTCGAAAACATAAGCTATTACTGAACGCCGGTCAGCCCTGAACAGGAACATCTCCCCTACTTTAGTTATCCTAGAAGACTTACTTGTACTGAAAATCTTTGCTAAGGATTATATTACATCACATTAGTACTATTAGTTGCTGAAGAAAGTGAGTCTTGAACAGCTCAAAAGTGTGAGCAGTACGGTAGCTTTCCTCCCAGAACCACTTATAAGCGTTCCAGCAAAAGGGAAAGATAATTTGCAGGAAGCTAAACTTGAACATGGTGAATTCAGCTACTTCTTAATTTACTGGAAAAAACAGTTTAATATTATAATAGTGAAGTCTTTTTCGAAAATTCTGCATGACCCCGTTACCTGAGTTGTCGTCTCCGACGGTTAACGAATGCGTGTTCAGTTGATTTTTCAGACGCTTTTCGATCAGCCATTGAGGTCTCATGAGACAGTGGATTCCACTAAACATTTAAATTATTAGAATACAAAGCACAAACAACAAAATAAGTTAATAAATAGGTTAATAAGTAAATAAAATAAACAATCGCCGTCAATGACCTTGTTCGCTTATATTTCCAATTACAGTAATAGATTTTTAGGTGAACCAAACTCACCCTTGTCCAGCTACGACGAACAGCTGGAGAATTCCTCCGAGGAAGAATGTGAATCCAGGCCACCAGTCGAGTGTGGCGTTGAAAATCGGATTGAATATCAGAGAAGATAACATCGGACAAAACGCCATGATTATTGAGCACACTAAATAGCAGTGGATAAGACGTTTTTAGGAAAGAACTGGATTACGCCACGACTTGGTTTCCAGGGCGGAACTCCTATCACTCTCAGCTTTATAACACCATCGGAGGAGAGGACCGCGTCCCCTTAGGGGGAAGATAGCGAAAGACTCCCGGTAACTCAAAGACTCCCTGAGCAAAATTGAATTTTTGCATGCCCCCTCTTACTGGAAAAGACCGAAATTACTCAACGAGAATGCCACAAAATGATACCTGTCAACAACCGAGCCGTCTGTTCTTTAGGTACCATTCGTGGAAGAAACGACCTATAGCCTGGAGCTATACCTCCACACAGCAATGTGAGAGCGCCAGCTGAAACAAGTGCGGCATTCCATAAGGAATTAAAAAATAATAGATTAAAATCAAAATGCTGCAACAGCTGCGACAAATTAGGCTATACATCCAATAAAGAGGATTAGATGCCGAAAAAGTGTCGCGATTTCGTGTTGTTCCGATTTCCGACTCGGAACTGATCGGAACAACCCGGAAAAAGATCATTAGATATGTAGTTGAAAACTTACTCATAAAAATTTCCATTGTTGTTGTGGCACTTGATATCCAAAGGAAGGACGCTGCTGACGCAGCGATACCGACAATAATCATTAGACTGTCTTTTCCTAGCCAATGGACCAGAGTCAACAATAGTGGACCTGAAAGGGCACCGAAATTAGTCCATTCAGCGATATTATTTAGTCGAAAAAATCTGTCACAAACAAGAAATGAAAAACCCACATAGCACCATTCCAAGAGAAAACAGAGTTCCCCTGAGCAGCGAAAAGTTACTGAAGGTCTTGTCGCTCCATGAAAACGGCGGCCGTTTCACGAGCAGAAACAGCAATGACATATCTGAAAAATGTTTTTTTTATATATGAAAAGGAAAACATCTGACTGAATATCAAGAACCTGCTTTTTTAAATCTATTATGAAATTAAATCGGGG